CAACAGGATGGAAGACTTCACTCCAAGGATTCAGACAGGGACAAGGTCCCTCTCGTCATTTATGGTAATATTGAAGGGATAATGGAGAATGTAATTTTATCTATGAAATTTTGCAAGGTAAAATAAACAGGAGCATTTCTCCCAGAGTGTTGAACCTGGAATGCTGTAGCAGACCTTGGGATACTGCTCCCTTATAGTCTTGGACCACCATGTACTTCCCTCCAAGCAAGAGACAAGATGTAACCCTGAGTCAGTTCTTGCTTTCTCCCTCGTGGGAGTGAGCAGCTGCCATCTTCTTCCTGCAGCACAGCCCTTCCTTGAGCCCTGCCTTTGCTGCAGTGGTGGGGGCTCTGCTCCTCATTCACTTCATATCATGCTTTCTCCTTGCCTGTCCATCTTGGAAGCATAGGAAGAAGCAGTTAAACATCTTTTTCCATGAACAAGTGAAACAGTGGATGTCACAACTAACCCAGCAAAGGGAGTGGGACTGTTTTATGATCTTTTATTTAATCGCCAGACCACTCAGGAGGATGTGTTACACCCTGAATTTTTGTACAGATGGAAGGACATTCATAGCAGCATTCAGTCTTTGTCTCTCAGTCCCACCTCTCCTTTTTTCTATTACTTTTCTGCTGGATACTTGGGGCTTGTTCCAGACAAGTAACCTATGGCAATAGACTCAGCCAAGAGGGCACTCTTGGAGTGCATTGCACAGACAATGAAAGAATTGGTGTGGGGTGGAACAGGGACAGACATAGCTCTCTTTCAGCAGCTGTCTCAGAAGACTCTATTAAAGCAAGAATTCTTGGGCTGTGACTTGTTACCTGAAAAATACATAGGTAACAAGAACAGGAAGCAAATGCTCAGACTGGTTTGTCTGCATGAGACAGTGACTTTCTAATGGATACAGAATTTCAGATGAACAAGAAGATGCTTCTGACATGTTTTAGGATTGGCTCTAGGGACTCCTAGACAAGCAGACTTTCAGAGCTGTGTGTATTTAAGCGCAGCCCCATCAGATCGTATACAGAGAGATGCATTTCACATCACCTGGAGGAGGAAAATACAAGACCCCTTTCTGCACTTGCTTTGTCCACTCTGATGTCCTTGATGTTGTGTGTAGTTCTCCAGAGCTGGATTGAAAGCACTTATTCAAAACAATATAATCAGTGTGATGGATGGCCATTTCCAGTATTCACATAAATGCTTTCTTAACTCATTATATCCAACAGGTAATGATGGAGGAAATAACCATAACAGGCCTTAATGTAACAAGCATCTAAGTACATGTGCAAACATTTTCTTGATTTATGCTGGAAGACAAGCAACTGCTGGGAATGTGTCTTTACCAACAAGTGCAGGAATTCTTTGTGCTTTGTATATCTTTTATTTATTTTGTTGGGTTTTTTTTGTCTGATAGTTTTTTATATGGCCAAAAATAAACCAGAGGATGGTGTCCTTAATTTCAAACTTGAAGAGACTAAACTTGATACAGTACCTATCTTGTGACTAGAAATCGCAGACAGAGTTTCCCAAACGGTTCCCCTTACCCTTCATTTTTCAGTATTAAAGGAAAAAAATGGAAAATTGCTTTCACTGCAGGGAAAAAAGCATGTATTAATTGTACTGCAACAATATACACTTGCATCAAAATGACAATTTTTTCCCTGTCAGCCGTGCTTTGGTGAGAAGCAGTGAAGTACATACACCGGAGATGATAAGCCTGCACCACTCTTTCTCATCTTGCTTTAAATAGCCTCCAATTATTATTATCTCAGACCTTCAGCCTGGCTCTCTAATAAAACAGTTTTGCATTAACAAATTCAGAGTGGCCTTAGAAGAGTGTTTATTATGAAAAGCTTCAGGAGCAAAGAAAGGATTTGGCAAAGGAGTTTCTTGGAACTGCATGAAGCAAGCAAAAGTTTGCTTACTTTATGAATTCCCATGCCAATGAGTGTAGCATATAGCCAATGCAAACATCAGTCTTACAGACACTGTTGATGCCTCTGTTTGGTGAGCACTAAAGTCCCTGGTTAGGGGTAAAGCAGCTGCAGCTCTCTTGGTCCTTCTGTCCCTAGGAGCTGCAGCTGTCTTCAAGGAGATGAAGACAGTGGCTGATGTTTTCACATAGAAAGGCATCTGCTAATCGGAAAAGGGAAGACAGCTTGGAGGACGTGATAATCACAGCCCATCACTAATGCAGATAACAACGTTTCTCAGTCATCTCCTGACTGTGTATCTTTTTTCTGCCTCATTGGAGTCCGGGGCGGAGAATTGGGATTGTTATTCATATACCCAACCTGGGTTCTTCTTTCAAACAGTATTCCAGATGGCCAATGATTTTGATTCAGATGAACAGTTCATTTAGTGGTATCGGGATGAAGATTCACTGATTTCAAGAGCAAACAACTCAGAAGAAAAAAAACATAGGGGGGGAAGCCATAAAATACTGAAATGTGATAGATGTGAACTTGAGTCTTGCCTTAGAAAAAGGCTCATGAATTTTAAGGGTATTCAGACCTACAGAGGAAACCTTTACTCACCAGACAACTGCATGTACATATGAATTAAAAAAGAACTGGAACAGACAGGCTTCCTAGAATATTTTAGGACAATGAAATGTTTTTTTCATTATGCATCCATCATGCAAAATGTCAAATTCAGTTTGCAGAGAAAGTCAAAGCAGGAGCCAAAGAGGAAAAGAAGGTCTGAAGGTGAAGGAGCAAGCACCACTGAGGAGTGACAGAATGTCAGAGAGCAGGGCTCCTCCATGCCCCTGGCTGTTTATTTATTTTTATAGCTAGTAACTGTATATTGCAGCAGCAATTTCTTTCTTTATTTAAAAGCTTAGATTTACAGAGAAATAAAAGACCCTGAAGTTGTTTATTGGAAACTTCCATCCTCCTCAGGTTGATATTTCACTATTGTGTCCTTGATGGAGCAGAGAGGGGCATGTGAGGAGCACCTGAGCTCTGAGAGCCTTCTTTTGGTAGTTACTGGTCCTGCACATAAAGATTTGGAAATCTGGGGTCTTCCTTGTGCTCAAGGCACAAATATTTTCACTTGGCTTTTTATTCAGAAAGTAATTGATTCAGATCTTTGGCAATGGGAAAAGAATTTGGTGAAGACATCTGTCCAGACAACTATGTCCCACCCCAGCAGGACTCACTAGGCAGAAGGAAGAACTCCACTGCCATAGAGCTGCAGAGACCTCTTTTCATTTCCACAGCTGTATGTTTGATCACTGAATAGCCACAGGGGGTCAGAGCTTTTCCCCACTACAGATTTATACCAGTAAATATGTAGATTTTTCCCTCTGATGTTGTTAATCTTACTTAAAACCTATATGAGAGTAGAATGCAACCCAGTATGATCATTTTTAAAACAGGCAAGTATTAGCTAAGCTCCTAACTCTTGGATGAACTCTTCTTTTGCAGTATTGTGTGATGAAATGGGGTCTCTGAAAAGGTTTATTACTCTAGATTTAGACCCAGCTGGTTTTGTAATAATGGGTTCCTCTTCACATCAGCTGTCTTCTCAGAGGGCAAAGGCAATTAGAAAGCAGTGGAAAAGAAACACTACCGCGTTTACATTCTTAATAGCGTTGGCTTGATGCCCTGACTTCCTATGAAATCTGCTTCGAGGATGGCTATTAAAACATAAGGATGATTGACAAAAGAGTGAAGAGACTCGCTTTCGGGTCGTGGGTTTGCCCTCATGCTGGCACAGCAGTAATCAAAGCTCATCATCTGGCCAGCTGTGCCAGTCCCTGCGGATACGTTTCCATTAAAGGTTCCCCCGTGAGATATCACAGTGGGTACATGTGGAGAAGGCTGCACTGTCCCAGGGGCAGGAGAAGCAGTGATTTGATACCAATCTTAGAGACTCTGGTAAGTGGAGGAACTACTCTAATGTCCTCCCCTGACCCAAAAGTAGGCATTTTGTGTACTGCAAGGCTGCCTGCTCACTGGCTGTGAAAAAAGGGAAAGAAAATCTCAGGTCAGTGCATTCTCATGAATTAGTGTGAGAGCTTGGTTTTATTGCCTCAAACAGCTCAGAATGGCTCCAGGTTTCAATACAGCTTTTCTCTGACTTCCAACAAGTATTTTCAACACAAATAATGCTCAGGACATGGGAGTAGTACTTATTTGGTGCAGAGGGAACCAGTTTGATCAGTTGTTTCCACAGCACAAAGGTAAAAAGTGTCTGAAAAGAAAAAAAGGTAGCAATGTCCCAGTAAAGAATACTAATCCCGTAATTAAGCAGAAAATCCCTAGGACAAAGAAATATTCAAAGGTCTATTTACTGTTATTTGTGCCTAGGGAATTTCCTCTCTGATTCTGATAAAAATAAAAAGGATGTCATTTGTAAATATCTGTTATGTTTCAGAGAAAAAAAAAGAAAATCGGAGATTTTTTTTTCCCTTTTTTGGGTTTACATAAATGCAAAATGTAATGCATCAAACATTACTACAAATGCAGGCAATCTTTAAAGATCAATAAACAGTTCAGTGGATCTGAAACAGAGCAGTCTTGCAACCTTCCAAAATGGCATCCTTATGTTCTATATTAATTAAGTACAGATTTTCAAAAGACAGTTAACAGAGCAAATACAACCAGCAGGTTGGGAATGTTGATTACTCTTCCTTAATTGTGTTGTGAAGCCACCTCCACAGAAATAGAATAACAAATTAGCATGGAGGACAAAAGAACATGGAAACGACACAAATAAATAACGAAGGATGAGATAGGGAATGAGAAAGCAATGGAGACTAAGCTGTGCTGACTTCTCTTCTCATCCACTTGCACAGAGCTGGTCCAGAAGCCCCCCAGGGTCGCAGTGATGTCCACCAGCCATTTGCCCTGTGCCACAGCATCATTCCAGAGCCCACAGTGCCCAGGGATGTTCTCATTTAGCTATTGTTTATTACAAAGCAAAACACCCGCTCCCTGTCCACCCACCCTTTGCTGTTTTCTCCCACCTAAGACATGGAACACACGTTCTCAGAGTTCCTTGGCTTAAATTTAATTTTTTTGAGGCAATCAACTTCAACAGAGCTGCTGATTGCAGCAGGACAGGGATTAGCTCTGATGTGAACACTTAAAATAGCAATTCCCCACCTTCACAACACTAGTTCGCACACGCTGCATTCACTGCGGCCGTTGGGGGAAGAAAGGACTGCTACTTTATTTTAGGGAACATCTCAATGAACAGGCTTTTTCAAGGGTTTTTTTCCTACCAACTTTGAATTTCTCTAAAAGTTCCCACAGAAATCAACATTCGAAACTTGTCAGAGGGCTTTGAATCTTTTTTTAATCATCCATCAAGCAGGAAGATGGCAACAGGATGCACTGTGTCATGTTTGTGTCATTGTAATGTGAGGCTTCAGGGATGTGCTAAAACTACCAAAAAATTTTCAGACTCACTTTGGATAAGCACTTTAAAATAATCTCACTGTTCAGCTAAAATCTTTCTCATTGGCCATACTTCTGGCACAGCCTTTGCCACAGGATTTCCATTCCCGACTTGATGAAAGCACCTTGAGGAATGATAACTCCACGACTTTCTTCCTTGCACCACTTCAAATGAGAAGTGCATAAGAATGAAAAGCAGTGGGAAAGAAATCTGACTTTTTCAGCATTTATCACAGTTTATATCATTTCAGGCATGGCAGAATTGTGAGGGGATGATCTCATTTTACTGGAACAATTTTAACCCTCTCTGACACAGAGAATAGACAGTGATTGCCTGGAGGTTTCCAAAATAACTAAAAATAAAATGGCATCAAAAGTTCTTCAAAGAAAAATATTGTATTTTGATTAGACCTGAAAATTGCAGGCCTCTCTTCAATGCAGTGCTCGAGATTAATTCTGATGTAATATCCACTTTTCTCCAGGCTGTGGCTGAAAGCGAATCTGACCATCTGACCATCTACTCAGCTTCTGTGATGTCCAAGTTATACCTGAAAAGTAGAGACATGCAAAGAAAGGATACAAGACACTGCTGCCTTTCCATTTGGAGAAGTGTGCTAGTACAGCCTGGCCAGTTGTGAGAACACCTTTGTTCCCACAGCTGGTGTCCTTTGGGGAACAGTCACAGAATCATAGAATAGTTAAGGTTGGAAAAGACCTTAAGATTATCTAGTCAGAGACTTTACTATCTGACCCATGCACAGTTTTTTTGCGTGCTATTATTGTATGTATTCTAAATCATATAATTCTGCCATGATCTAAAAATCAGATCTCCATGATATTTCATAATCTTATCCAGAGCTTGCACTGGACCATCTGAACCACCTCGGAGCTGAATATCCACATTAGCCTACACAATTAGCCCCAGTCACCCATGAAGAGGGCTCATAGCTGAGGCTCAGTTCTGTGTAACTGCAAACAAGTGGCCAGCCTGGAGCACACACACTATGAACCTCTATCAAGCAGCAAACTGTGATGGCTTTGCTGGAAACACAGCTCTTCCGTCTACTCACACTGCTTTCTCTTGCCCTGGCTGCCTTCTCAGCTCTTCACTATGGCCTGTGGTTTCTGCTTCCCTTCACTCTGCTGTGCCTGCTGGTGAAGCCAGCCTGGTGTGCAGGCACTGTTGGTCCTCTCAAGCTGCTTGGCTACAAATGTTGAGTCCACCTGTCCTTCTGCCTTCTGCAGCCACCTGGTCTTTGAGCTTTTCCTGTTGTTTTGGGTTTTTTTTATTATTATTGGCAGGAAATCCACCAGCCAAAATGGTTCTGGGCAAACCTGGCTCTCCAGTGAGTGTACAGCTCTGTACAGGTCATAAAGAGAGGAATGGAATAAAACCACCATGCTGGACAAGCAATTTCTGTGAGACTCGAGGACTGTGCCTCAGGCTGTGAAGACAGAAGACAAAGGGGACAATAACTGTTTGTTGGCTTGGCAGGACACCCGTTTCATTACTGCATTGGCAACCCCCCTAAAGAAACACTGCACACAACCAAACCATCAATCCATGTCTAAGCAGTAAATAAAGAAGAAAGATGAGCAAAGGGAGGAATATATGTAAACAGTTCTCACTCCTACAACAGTTTCTCATTGCTCTGATGTTTCAGCAGGTGCTGGCAGGTACTGTCCTCTCTCATCTCCCATAAACCTGTGGGGCACGTAAAATGAAAGACCTCTTTGAAAGGGTTTCTCAGAAGTGCTGAGCATTTTGAAATACTCTGCTAATACTATATGGACAATTCTGGTCTAATGGCTCTGGTTTAATGGCTCAAACACCAGCAGTAATGACTGTTGAGTTATGTTGTGGAAGAGGCTAGGAAGGACATTGTGGTCCCAGTTCCCCAGGCAGTTAGAGTATCCTTCTTGAAGAACTACTACGTGGCAATGCCTGATAAAACTCAGATAGGACATACTGGAGTGTACCAGTGTGGAGCCCAGTGAGAAAGCTTTAAAGACCAGAAAACTGCCAGGGAGGAGCAGACATTCATTGCTGAGGGCCTGTGAGCTATTTGTGCACATGCCCACGTGCTTTTTACCCTCTGAAGTTCTTTGTCAGCATCTCTCCATTCCTAAGATAATGGCAATGTTCTTATGCATAGGATATAGCAGGTGAACTGTTGTGTTCGTCTGAGTACAACATATCAAATACTCTGGAGAATTCAAAGACACGTCTTGCTAAACACTTTTCTGACAATTCCATATTGTCCAGTGAAAAATATGAATGCCATTTTTTTTAATGCCATGACTGTGGACAAAAGAAATAACACAAAACCCAAAAATGAATGAATTTCATTGAGTCTGAGCAGTTCTCAGATTCAAAGCCACCAGCCTCAATTCATTGCGACGATCAAAGCGCCAAGCAGTGAACTGAAATAGCGCATCCAGATTTGGAATCTCCTAACCTAAGACATGAGGAGCGATTTTATTTGTCTGATCCTCCTCCTCCACACCATCCTGGAGAGCTGATTTCTGAACTCCCCCCCCCACCAGCACATGAGAGACCTTTTGTGCAACGCTCGTGTGGGTAGAGCAGTTTGAAAACGAAACTTCCTCCAAGTGAACACAATTTCCTCCCAACTGCCTCTTCCTAAACCATGGAATAAAAATTGCAAACTCAACAGAGGCATCAATTTTCCCTAAGGCGATGAACAGGAGCTGATATAGCAAAAGTTTGCCTTTGTTTTGCTGTTATGGATTTTTTGTTTTGCTTTGTTTTTGTTTTGCTTCTAATGGCACCAATCTAGCTGTCCAAACTGTCTCTCTTCCCAGAGAATAATAATCAACTTCCTAGTTCAACAGCTTTATGTCATGAATATTAAAAAGAATATCTGAATAACACAGCTCCCCAGCACTGTGTCTCATCCATTCCAACCTCGTGAAAGAAGTTAGAAAAGAAGTCATCAAAATATTTTTAAAAGGGAGGAATGAGGACAGGATGTGATCACATATAAATATGTTATCAATGGGAATACTCGTTTACAAATATTAATATTCTTGCCTAGGAGGTGGACTAATTTCTTAACTTTTTCTGGAACCGTTATAGTCTATACAGCAAACTCAGAGCAGTATTAATTAGAACACTTATCTTTCTTCTCTGCTATCTTATAGCTGCTTTAACAAGAACGTTTTACCTTTTCATTCTGTACAATTTTAGTGAAAGTCTTAAATTAGCTACTCTCTACCTGACAGAAAGCTATTTATCCCCCTGTAGGTGTGATTTCTACATTTAGGACAAATTATGTGTTCAGTCTCATGCAGAACCCTTCACATGCTGAGGACCACAAAAGTTGTATTATTGGAAGGTAAAGTAGTTGTCGTGACTGCCACTTGTACCCACACACATTAGAAACCATATGAGCCAGGACAGCGTGAGGTAGCCTTGGCTGTCTTGACACAGGACTGCAGAATACTTGTATTGCCTATGGCCCTGAGAAGTCTTCTGTTAAACATTATTTGCAGAGCAAAGTTGTATTCAAACCTCTCCATACGTAGGTTGCACTGCATTATACCGGTTCAGCTGTCAGCTTAGATTCTGGGAGACAGGGCTGCCTAATTGGTATTTAGAGGATGTCAAGAGAACAGCAACAAGAGTAACAGGGTTTGATATGAACTTCTGCAGCACTTGGATGTCAGGGATGATACAATAGTACCTGGAATACTATTTCCCAAAGCTGCAGCAACCTGTACTTACTGTGCGTGTGCTAGTTCACTAACTCTGCTAGCAGTAAGAAGGGAAAGGAGGAGAGAAGAGCAAAGAGAAAGGGAGGCAGTGCTAGACAAGGTGGGAAGGGACAGGTGCTTGGGAAGAAAAGGGATATAATGGGATTCTCAGATAAAACTTTAGGAATTTCTGGGGGGAGCTGCTTAAACATTTCATACATATATACTATAAACAATAGTGAGCACATCAGAAATCTAAACAAGTTTTAAAAAGAAAAAGCATTTATTAGACTGCAAACTGGAACCACTAATGGTAATATAGAAAAAAAAAATAAGACAGAAAAGAAATAAACGGCTTCATTAACCCATCTCCCTCTCCCACCATGCCCCTGCAGAGCAGGTTGGGCTTCTGCAGTTGGCTCTTAGTCCAGGAAATTAGCCACTTTCTGGGTGCACACTTTTTGCTCTTTAGTCCATTCCCAAGAAGCCACCCAACCCTTGCATGCTCTGTACCTTCCAAGGGGCATTAACATCCTCCTAACGTGGAGGACAGTAGTACAAGGGGGCAATAAGGGTGGTTATCTGTACTGAGTACACTCAGGCAACACATACACCAGAAGATCTGCTTCCTGTAAGGTGTGAGTTGGTGAAAAGAAAAAAGGAGGAGAGGTGAGCAGCAGTGAAGCTCAGTTAAACTGAGAATCAGACATTAACTTTTTCCCTAATTTTTTCCTGTTAATGAGAGTCAGCAACAAAACACCCTTCCCACCCACTGAACTTGTACATCTCTACAGTCAGGATCCTGCCTACTCTGCACCTTTCTGCTTTCCTTTCTCTAAACCCTTGTGCTGCTGTTTTTGCTGCTGCCAGCATGAAACCATGACCCTGGAAGTGGATGAAGCGAACATGCAGGGCAGGCTCCACACAGCAGAGCCTGTCAAGCCTTCATTTAGCATGATGGAGAGCCTCGCCAAGGAGAAACACTCCCTTATTCATCACTATGTTGCTAACACCCTGCACGGAGACCCGAAATGGTTGCTTGGAGAAAGATAAGGTCTTCCTGGCATTTAACCTTACCTTCTGGGCTGTAGAAGAGGGAAACTGTGATTAACAGGCACCACCTTGCTGTATGCTAAGGGACTGAGCTCTGCCCTGAAAAGATGTCTCTAGAGCTGAGATACCAGGAGTTATTGTGGCTTTGGTGTCTTTTGGAACCACATTAAAAGAATAGGTATTGTGTTTCCAAGTGTGTTATATTTTTCTACCTACACTACTGGCCTGCCCAGCTTGCTGGGCCCAACATTACTTTGCTTACTGGGTCACCAGAGAGATCAAGAGACCTACCTTAAGGTGACAGAGTAGGACAACAAGCCCAAAAGCTGCCATATCGTGTCTGGCATAGCAGAATGCTTCTCCAGTGGGCAGATAGCATCTGAAAGTGCTGCCTTGGAAGTGGATGTGAGCCTGAATGCAAAGGGTTAAGTGAAGCACTTGTTATCCTTCAACTCAACACAGGTGGTGAAAGGGAGGTGAGAGGTGAGGGGGCTGCTGGGGAAGGCTTATAAGGCTCCAGGAGGGAAAGGAGTAGGGATGTGTTTTCCTCATTTCTGCTGGGCCTTCTGCTTGTGGACCCACTGCAAATCCGCCCTGCAAGCTGAGTGCTCTGGGAAGGATGAGTTCAGCCCTGCTTAAATTCATGAGGTAGGACACAAAGGGGTTGTTACTGAGAGCCTGACTGATGGTGTCTGTTACCCTGCTGTGGTGTAAGCTTGAGCGAGCCTTCTACTCACCAGTTCTCTGCAAGTAAATGTGATAGAGTATTTGTGAATCACCCCTGTGTGTTGTTTAGAGAGGACTGGGCAGCCCGGCTGCCCTCTGAGACATGTTGAGATGTGAAGGTAGCAAGTGGGCTCTTCTGGTGCTTAGTGGGTTGACTGGGGTTGGCAAAGGCCATCTGAGGAGATGGAGGGGAGTTTAAACTTGGGTTCTTAGCTGCTGTGTGCTTGGAATGGTGCTAATGGTTTGCATGTGCTCTTGGTAATTAGCAGTGCTGGGAGGCAGGTGAGTTCCCAGGGACCTCCTGCTCTAGTAGAGTGGGTGTTCCTCTCTCTTTGCCACAAGAAATTTCTTCATCAAAGGTACCTAACATAAGGGTGGGTGTGGTAGAGAAGCTGGTTGTAAAGAATCCTTTAAAGGGATGTCTTTTACCTTATAAACACTTGTTTTGACAAAGCTAAAGCTTCACTTTCCCCCGGGGTCGTACAAGGTGCTCTCAGTGATTCATTTCTATTGCTTTATTTCAATTATTTGCACTGGTTGTTTCATTCCATATCACTTGGTCTTCAGCAGTGGCATGGCATGAGCTGTTCTGTTCTTTTCTTTTTCAAAAAGAACCCCTACTTCATTGTCTCTTTACATCATACCAACCTGAAATCCCCTTCGCCTAAAACCTCAACTTCAGCTCCCTCAGTAGCTACCAGGCAAGCTCCAGGTGACTTACTTTGACCTGCTCTCTGCAGGTCCATAAAGAGAGGGAGGTGACAAAGCTAGTTCTCCTTAGGGCTCTGGACTTCTTGAGGTAGCCTCAGGCTCATAGCCAAAGAGGTGAAAGTAACCCAATGACAAGTTTTGCTCCAAAGGCAGCTGTGATTTCATGCTATGTAGGTAATAGTGCCAGCTTAGAGGGAGACTCCATCCTCCCCTTCACCAGCTCCACTGGTCAGTTTCACATTTCCTTCCCTATAATGGTTTTTTGTTTCTCAGCTGAGCTGAGAGCAGCTGGTGCTGGAGCTGTCAACAGGCATTAGCATGAGGATTAAAGAATATTTTTGCATTAATTTTGCTGCTTTGGATGATGTATTGTCAGATCACAGCTTTCAACCACACCCATGCAAGACCTCTGATTCATCCTACTGCTTGAATGAAAGGTGAAGTGATTTGGAAAGGCTGATGCTGAGGACTGGAGGTGCATTTGACTGTGCTGTTTCATAGACTGGGAAGTTATTTGTCTTGTGTTAACCTAACACTGGCAGTATTTTGTCTCTTAAATGCTGTTTACATCCCCTAGTTTTAGAGAAGCCAATAATTTAGTATGAGTTGGCAATAATTGTAGAGCACCATAATAAGTCTTAAACTACAATGTAACTAGTCAGCTAATAGCCATTGAAATCCCTTTTTATGTACCATAAAAGTTTAGTAAAGAATAAGGAATATCCATTACATCTGTCCAAGGTTGAGAGTTTTGTTCTTTGGCTCAAAGCCTGTTTTTTGTCATTCTGGGGAAAATTTTTCAAAGCTACGACTAAGTTTGTAAAGTTGCTTGTCCATCTTTAAAAGCACATATTTCATGTTAAATTGCAGCCCTTAAAAGAGTCCATTGTTCTGTTGAACAGAGGAGGGTGGCCTCAGGTGTCCTACCCATGTTTTCTCCACTGCCTTCATGCCTGGGTCACGCTTTTGCTTAAGTCATTGGTGTTGTCATACTCCAGTATTGTATTGATGAAGTCTTCCAGTGTAGTCTGGGAGTGCATATTGGCTTGGGGCAATGGTTGAACAAGCTCAAAGCCATGCTGTGTTAGGGTGATGCTTTTTAGTTAGTAGGATTGCTGAGCACTGGCTGGATGCCTTGGTAATGTCACTACATGGTTTTGATTTGTGCCAAACCAGCTCCTGAGCTGGGTTGAGAGCCCAGGCCTGCCTCTAATCTGTTTGTCATGTGGATGCAGTTTAGGGCTCTCGATGCTCTTTATGGTAGTTCATTAAAATAAGAGATCATGTCACTAATGTGCAGTTCTGCCGCAAAAGCCTTGACCACTGTGCTCTACACACAGCAAAACTCTCTTCCACATAATTTCTCAATGGTACCAACAAAGCTGGCAAAAATCAGTAGTAAAGGCTGAGCTGGAAAGTTATTTCACTAGTGAAGTCAAGCTTAGAAGTGAGAAGTTGGAGAAGAGCATTCAACTTCAAGCAGATCTTGCCTCCCAGAGCTCTGGGTGGGTGGGATCTCTCCACTGAGGCTTCTGTGATGCTGAGTTGCTTTTCCGGGTGATGCCACAAAGTGGCTTCTTTGACAGATGGCAATGAATTGACAGCTTAAAAGGGCTCTTCACAGGAAAAAGTGACATGTAGAAATGTTCTCTGACTAACAGAGACGGAATTGGTGTTACTGAAGTGTAGGTAGCGGATTCTCCACGAGAATCTATTACTTTGAGTTTGTGTAGGGAAACTGCCTGAGGACTCTTCTAGGCTGCAAACAGCCTGAACCGTGCAGGGGGTTAGTAGGTGAGACTGGAGGAAGTGATATGCTTTACTTAGGGAATGGGTAGTTAGAAGGGTTGCTAGAGAGTTTTGTCATAATTACATGTCCAATGTGTTGTTGCATTTTGATGCTTTATTGGTATTTTTACATTCCTGAGCCCTCTTCGTGTTGGACCTCCATTCTCTGCTTTGAAAGATGGGGCATATCACTTTGCGCAGGGTATTTGGAAAATAATATTCTCTGGGATTCTCCACCAGTGTTCAGTTACATGGCATTTTTCATTTTAAGAGTCCCTCTGGCTATTTGAACTTGGCCCTGATAACTGTCAACAGCAGTTTGCAAGAGGGTTTTATCTGCAGCTATAATCAGTTCCTTGTCACTAGAGCATTAGGAGACTGGTTTTCTCAATTCCTGCTTTGCATAAATGCTTTCTCAGAACTCCTGTAAGCATCTTTTCACCTCTCAGTATTACTATGTAGGCAAAGTGTTTTTGCATGCCCTTCTGTGGAGATTGGAGCACTGATCTCTGCTAGTTTTCACATAGGCTGTGGTGGTAGGTAAGTGTGATCAAAGCCCTAGAGCTTCCCAAAGGAAACTTGCACTGCATAATTGATAGTAAGTAGAAGGAAATCTGTTCAAAACTCTTTTCAGCTAAGAACTATTTACAGTGATTTTGCAGTTTTGGCCTCCACCAAGATTTCTGTTTCCCCACTTCTTTCCTCTTCCTTGCCTTGGAGTCCTGCCCCAGCAAAAAAGGCTGAATCTCCTTGCCTTTCAAACTGAAATAAGAGAAAACACAGCTCACCAGTGTCATGCCTTAAAATTGCCATAATGTACACTCTGAGACTAAATACTTGATCTCCATACAAATAAATGGTTCTGCTCCATTATAGTTCTAGGAAAAAGAACTGCAACACTCCTGCAGCCATTCTGTAATGCAGTTACCTCTGGACAGAAGGGAGGAGCAGTTTAAGGTTCCCTGGACACAGTCTGACAACATGGGATATTTTTCTTGTGTGCTTTATTGTGAAATGTCTATCTGAAACTGCGTCAGGATTTCTGTGCTACACCTAGAGTATTTCTGTCTTAGTGCAATGATTGAACAGCAATAACAAAATAAGAAGCAAAGCAGATGGCAGTACAGAAATATCCTTGGTTTATTCAGATGGGCTCAGAATGAATACCCTGATGATTGGATGGTATGTGTTAAGCATGTATGTTATTAGCCACTGAGTATTTTGTCAGCTCAACAGAATATGTGTACTTTTAAACACAGACCACTATTGTTGAAGTTATTTGTGTTGAAAGTATCCTGTTATAAATGCTTTAGTAACATCCATTAATAGGACTGAAATTGGTGGGAGATTCTGATGACTGATTTACAAGTAGTTGCACTTAATAGAGAGGCATCAAAAAATTCCTAGTTCTTACTCTTTCCTCCTTGAGGGAAATACTTAGTTCTACTTGTATATTATGTCCAGACTGTCATGAGGTAATCTCCTTTTGCAACTTCAAGTTACATACCTAAGTTGGTTTACCTCCTACCTGTACACATTTTGAATGTAAGGGTTTGGAATGTGAGTAGTTCTATTAAAAAAAAGAAAGAATAAAAATAATCCTGTGGCTAGTAATTAGAAAAAAGTGTTCGGAGGTTGAAGATTACTAGCAACCATAGCATATGAATGAGTGTTGCTGTGTACAGATGGTGTTAATAAGTTTTTCTAACAGTGGGTATGACTTAATGTGAGTAATTCAGTGTTCTTGGAAGTGGTCTTGCACCCAAGATATGAATGTGAGTCCTCTGGTAGGAATGGATTTTGTGGATGAAACTGAAAATAGAATGAAGCTTAATTAAAAGCAAGGTTTTTAGGTAGGGTTTTCAATCAACCAGTCTACTTTCCATTTGTGCTATGCAAGCCCTGTATAAAACAAGCTGTGTATACAAACTTGAAACCTAACCATGGCAGGAGCTGGTCATCTACAGGGGCTAAAGCAAATATCAGGTATAATTTCACTGGTCAAAACATTCAAGGCTTGCATGGTTCTCTATTATGATGTAAATACACAGAAGGAATCCCTTATGTGAGCTCAGGTGTGAGAATTTTGTGCAGCAGCACTGTGAATCAGAAAAAGGAAAACTCTCTCTTTTTAGAGGTGGTGGTGGGGGAAATGGTCTTGGTTGTCTTATTCTGGATTCATTTCT